CAGCTGGGGTACACTGGAGGACGTGTCTGCAGACCAGCAGGGTAATGAGTTAAGGCAGGCGTGATCTGGTGACCTCAGCTGGTTTAGTGAAGCATGGTAAGATGATCTGTCGTGAGTAGCAGTGCTAGCATCCTGTGTCTACTGTGTTCCCACTGGATGCAGAGACTGTGCAGTTAGCAGCAGGCCAAGGCTGAATTAGGAAACTGGAGGGGGAGCTAACAGGAAAAGAGATCAGGAGTAATGACTTGAAGGCCGTGATAATGATTGGCTTAGATGAAATGGATATAGCAGTAGCTAATGACTTGAGTTTGGGAAACTATAGGGCCATGCTTGAGTTGAATAGCCTCCTCTCTGTATATCTGACTTTCCAAAATAAAAAAAGATTAAATCTTTAAAAAATAGCTTTGGTTAAATATGGATCAATTCACTATAACAAAAGCCAAAAGTCAACCCTGAAGTCTGTAAAAGACTCAAGTCCTGACCCATCTAGCCACACTGCCCGCCGACCCCCGCCCCAGGCTCTAGGTATATTCATCCCATCTTGCTTCCCTCGACCGCTGGTCAAGGCAACACCCAGCTGCTTAGGATCACAGCAAACCTAAGCAGCCGAAGTGAACTGTCAACAGTTGAAGATGGGAGAAATGGCAGATCTGGCTGAAGGTGAGTAACTTGGTTTTCTGAACGTTACAATCCTGGATTATCTATGACCTTTTTTTCCTATTAACTCATTTTCTCAACCATTTTGATTTGTGCACAATAATCAAAGCACACATTTGTATGTGAACACATACATATAGAAAAAATAGTCCTTACTGATAATGAGATTTAAAAAAAATATTTTGGGCAGCTTTTTGACTTTTAAAAATAGTTACTTACTTATTTGGCAAAGGGTTAGAGAGGGAGAGCAGGGCACCTGGATCTTGAACTGCCACTGACAGGGAATGCTGGCATTGCAAGCGGCGGCCTAACCCCCTGTACCACAATGCTGGTCTCTAAGATTTCTTCAGCTATGGAAATATTCCAGTTGATGACAATGTGTGGTTGCTTTGATAAATTACTACTATGCTCTATAACTTCCCTAAGTTATGGGAACAAAAGTACATGGAGTATAGGAAGACTAACAAGATTAACAAACATGTATCTCTCTTCACGTCAATGACTATAGTACATATTTATTTTCTATCCTTGAAAAAGGTCAATGGACATTTCCAAAGAGATTTGTAGTAATTTTTTTACTATTCGAGATAGCTGAAGTTTAAGTAGTAATTGCAACTAAGTTTGACTCTATTTTTCATATCCATATTTGTTTTTTACCTCAATGAACACGACCTCAGTATTTCAGCACATTACAATATCTGAACCCTATCAGTACCTGCTTTGTAATCCTGACCAAACAGGTTGTGACTACAAGGAATGACAGCCAATGGGAAAGAAAGTACCACTTTTTAATGCAGCTAGAATACCTTGATTGCAGTCATTCCCAGATAAGCTGTGATGGAATGACTTGTTTTCCCATCTATCATCATTTCTTCTACCACACCTACCCTTGACAGGAACTGCCTGGCTCAGGGACGTGCCACATCTGCTTCCCTCTTTGGTAGAGCAGGAAAGGCTGCTCCCAAAGAAGACAGAGTGACTGCACGGGGTTGGACATGTTACCATAGCAACTCTGCTCTTTTGTAGAAATACAGCCTAGTGAGTATCTTGAGCTAACATGAATGTGCTTAGCAGTTTTCTTTCAAGAGAGGGTGACAAGGAAGATGCAGGTGGAGAGGATTTCCCAATACATGCGGAAGCCTTCAGGGCCAAATGGAAAGTGTATAGATCACAGACAGGCATTTGGCCTCGTGATGAAAATGCCTGTGGTCACTTTGGAGTGCCTGAGTTTGATTCTTGGTTCTGTCTTCTGCCTCCAGCTTCCTAACATGGAACCTGGGAAGCAGCAGCTGACCATTCAAGGGATTGGGTTCCTACCACCCACGTGGGAGACCTGTACTACATTTTCAACTCAGCCCAACTCCAGCTTTATCGGGCATTTGAGGGATAAATGAGCAGTAAGTTGTACTTGGGTTTTATAGAAGTTCTTACAAAATTAAGAATTGTTTTAAGAGTGCTTCGACGTGCTGGTTCATTCTTCAAACCCATGTGGATGACAAGGACCCAACCACTTTCAGCCATTGCTAAGAGCAGAGCCAAAATTTGAACCTAGGAACTTCCAATATGGCATACAGAAACCCCAAGAGGTGGCTTAACCACCAGGCCAAATGGTCTCTCCCTCCCACCCCCCTTAGTTTTATACCAGTTTCAATGCTGTCCTGTTAAACCAATGCTTTGCCTGAGACAGTAAATGGGATGAGTAATCTGGGACAAACCCTAGAAGTAGGGAAAAGTTGAAAAGTACATTAAGTTAGGAGTAATTTCAGGCATTCTTCTGCATCACAGAGTGACCATAAGTTAATTTTTAGGATTAGGGTCATATTGTTATTTAAGATGCTACCTAGATGTCCATGATTTTAGCCAAGTTACAATTTTATTCAACTTTTGTATTTATCTTCCCTTTTATTCCTTTTTTCCTTTAAAACCCTCTCACTTGCCTTCAGACAGCCAAAGATAGCCTCTGGTCTAACATTTTCACAGGTCTCAATTGGATTGGTGTTTATCATACATTGTATCATCATCTGTAGAAATGCTGATTTCAGAAGTGATTTTAAGGACCACTGCCTGCAATGTTAGAATCCCATATGTGTTCCCATTAGAATCCTGACTATTTCACTGCTAAAATATTTATTTTTATTTTATTTGAAAAAGTTAACAGAGGACAGACAGAGGCCTTCCATCCACTGGAACACTCCAGCTGGGCCATCCAAAGTGAGCAGCCAGGAGCTTCTTCTGGGTCTACCATATGGGTGCAGGGGCCCAAGGTCTTGACCTGTCCTCCACTGCTTTCCTGGATCATTAACAGGGAGCTGGATGGAAAGTAGAGCAGTCAAGGCTTGAACTGTTACCAATACTGAATGCCAGTGCTGCAGAAAGAGAATTAGCTTGCTATACTACCAAGCTGGTCCCAAAGGCCGCTTCACATTTTTTTTCCTTAATTTTTACTTTGAATGCTGCTTCACTTCTGATCCAGTTCCTCGCTAACATACCCATGAAAACAACAGAAGATGGTTCCAGTCCTTGGGCTCCTGCACCAGATGCTTTTGTCTCCGGACTTTGATATGTATGACACAACTTGTGGTCATTTGGGAAATGAGTCAGTGGACTGAACATCTAAGCTGAGGGGTGCTACAGCCATGTTCTGCCCCCAGGCTCAGCTCTTGTGCTCACCAGTGGGAACCATAGCCTAGCACGGGTGTTCACTTAGTTCCCCTACCAGGCCTGCTCCCAGCCCAGATTGTGTATACTGGTGGTGCTCTGACCTAGCTTAGCATGGTCCCAGTCTCACCTCTCATGGTGGATGCTGTGGCTTATCCCTGCCCAGCCTGGCTCTCGTGAACCGGCAGATGCGGTAGCCTAGCCATAGCCAGAACTCCCAATCCACACCCCCCCCCCCACTACCTTCCCTCTTAGCCAGCCCACACACATGCCATTCAGCCATGCAGCCCACATGCTCAACAGTGGGAGCTACAGCCATCAGTGAAGTTACATGTCCTCTCCCAGACCCAGATCTCATAAATACCAGCAGGTGGTAGGCTCCTGCCGAGCACTCTGCCCCTGGTCCCAGCCTTTGCATGTGCTGGTGGGTGCTGCACCTCACCTGCCTCTAGATCGATTCTGCTCCCAACCCTAGTTGTTCCTGTCAGTGAATTGCTGAATTTTGTGGTCACACCTAGCTTGGTCTGTCACTACCACTACCTCTTGCATACACCAGTAGGTATTGTAGACCCGCAGGGGTGAGGCCACCAAGTTCCCTACAGAATCTGGTTCCAGACCTGGCTCTCATGTGTGCTGGTTGTTGTCTTGGCCCATCCACTGTGGTTTAGCCCTGCCATGCAGGTCCCCCAACCTTAACTTCCATGTGCACCAGCAGGTGTTGCTACCTAGTTCAGCCCAGGTCTCTGACATTGGTCCTATTCAGACATACCCTCTGGTTTCCCCTCTAATCCACCTGGCCTCAGCTCTCTCGTTTACCTGTGAGTGCAGTGGCGTGGTCCATGGAAACCCACCATACTGAGGAAAAATACTCCCTCAGTGGCCACCATTCCCACATCGCCAAGTCCCTTCCCCTAGGCAATCTGCAGCCTCCTTATTGGTCCTGGGGGTCATTTTCAGGCAGGGCCTGCTTGGGGCCAGCAGCAAAATCAATCTTAAATAAAATAAAAATTTAAAAATCAGAGAACTATTAGATGCTAGGAAGCCCAGTTTGTTTCACAGCACCTATTTGGTTGTATTTGCTCCAATTTAGTTTCACTTAATTTCCAGATACTTTTATTTACACTTACATTTATTTTAGCAGAAAATTGCATAGGAAACATGAAGTAGCTGGTGTTGTGGCTCAGGTAAGTTAAGCTGCTGCTTACAACAGCATCCATGCTGGAGTGCTGGCTTGAATCTGGGCTGCAATCTACTTCCAATCCAGCTTCCGGCTTATGTGCCCGGGATAATAGCAGATTACTCCACAAATGCTTGGGTCCCTGCCTCCCATGTGGAGACCAGGACGGAATTCTTGGTTCCTAGCTTTGGCCTGGCCCAGCCCCAGCTTTTGTGACCACCTGAGGAATAAAGCAGAAAGATTTGTCTTGTTTGCTCTCTTAAATAAATAATGTTTTAAAAAGGTATGGAGTAGCTGGAACCCAAACTAGGCACTTTGAGATGTGGGTGTTCTGAATAGCAGCTCTAACTCCATATGCCTCAATGCATACCCCTTCACTAGTTTTTAAGTATAGAACAATACAGTCTATTTTGGCATTCTGAAAACAGTAAGAAAATCATATGGCAGATAAAGAATTGGTTCACACTTTGAGAGTGAAGAGGTGAATTTTTGGTTTTTCTTTAAAGAGAAACATTTATTGAATGATCAACAACTTGGGTGTTTTCACAGCTAAGCAAAAGAAATGTTTTAAGTATCTCTTGGTAGAAATATAAATTAGTTGTTATTTCTTTTTCCCATTTTGATATTAAATTCTCATACCAGATCCTTGCATTACCTAATAGAAGACAAAATACTATTGAAATAAGGGTTTTTCTTAAAACAAAACAAAATGGATCCTTCCTTAACTCCTCCTGTGTTTTCAGTTCTGTTATTCCTAGGTTGCTGGTGACCTCAAGCACTAAATATAATATAGATTTCATATTTACTGAAATCTCAAGTAGTATGCTGGGAAAACAGAGATGAGGTAAGCTAGGCTATAGCCTGGACACAGTGAATTCAGGTAAAATCAAATACTCGTGCTTTTAGTCATCAATAAGGAAATTCTGTCCCACCTCCTCTACTTTCACCCGACTTTCTGGTCGTCTAACTTTACAGACCTATTTGTAGTTTCACTGAGATTTTTGGTTTTGTTTTAAAATGTGCCCTATATTGGAGACAGATCTCTGTACAGATGCCATCAACTTGTATTATCTGAATTTGTAGTTAACTCTAGGCACTGCCTGTCTACTATCTCCTCCTACCCATACATATAAAACTACACAGTAATTATAAAACTGTTTATGTATCTTTGATGATTAAAAAAATTTGTTTATCTGAAAGGCAGATGGAGAAATAGCTTCCATCCATAATTCATTTCCAAAATGCCTGTCATGGCCTCAGCTGGGCTAGTACAAAGCCAGGAGCCTAGAACCCAGTCCATGCCTCTCCTGTGGGTGGCAGTGATTTAATGGCCTGAGCCACCATTTGTTCCTCTCAGTTGATACACTAGCAGAAGCTGGGCAAGAAGGAGAACAATCAGGATTCAAACCAGACACTCATCTCTTGGATGTCCCAGGCAGTAATTCTGCACAAAATGTAGTCTTGTGAATATGACAGCAAACCTTATACTTTCCAAGTGGTTTTAGATTAAATTGTCTTAGGGGAATGGCATTAGGGTATAGTCTGTTAAGCTGCTGCCTGTGATGTCAGCATACTATATAGGATCCAGTCCCAGTTGCTCCTCTTCCAATCCAGCTCCCTGTCAATGGCCTGGAAAGGCAGCAAGATGGCTCAAGAGCCTGTGCCACTGCCATCCATGTGGGAAAGTTGGAAGAAGCGCCTGGCTTCAGCCTGGGCCAGCCAAGGATGTGGTGGCCATTTGGGGGGTGAACCAGTGGCTGGAAACTTTGTTTCTCTCTCTCTTTTTGTAACTCTGCCTTTCAAACAAATAAATAAATTTTTAAATAATCAAACACTGGAAACTTTACAAAAACATAACTTTTCTCAAAACGGATAAGCTTCTTCCTTGTAAATGCCTCTATTTTTATTCCAAGAGGCACAAGGATTATTTCAAATTAACTTCTCCTAAAAATCCCTTCATAAGGATTATCGTACATAATCTATGGTTATGGTAATGGTTTTCAAAACATCTTCAGTAAAGTAAGAGAATATAAAATGCTTTGGCTTGCATAGTTAGTCTTAATTGCGAAATTTCTTCTTCTTTCGGAACTTTTTTCCTGCTGCATTTGCTGCTTTTTCAGCCATAATCTCTGAGTACTTCCTTCGGTTATACCTGAAAAGAAAAAGCAGACCATTAGATTCTGAGTTCTAAATCTAAGAATCTGTCTGCACTGTCACCTTCTAGTCATCACATGTGTTAAGATTCCATCCTGTTAAGAGACCTCAAACAAGGAGCTGGGACCGAGCAGTAGAAAAGATGCTACTTTGCCATTATAAGACCTGTGATCAAGCGAGGACAAAACCGAGATTCCTGAGTACCCAGAGCATCTCCAGATGCTTTAGACACTTTGTGGAGTAAAAACAAAACAAACTAAACAAAAACATGGTACTGATCTGAACACATACAATATGGTATTTACACCTATGAAACTGTGTCATAAAAACAAAACAAACAAAAATAGTTAATCAAATGCAGCTTTTTTTCCAATGTTGGTAATTAAAGAAATACAGGCTTCAGTTAAAAAAAAAAAAAAAAACCTTCTAATTCTGTTTTCCATGAAGTTTTTGAAGTATCCACATTTGCACCAATAGGATTCTAAAATCTGTGGAAGGGATCTTTCAAGTGGTCCATTAGGTAAAAACTGTTTTCCTGGGCCTGGCACAATAACCTAGCAGCTAAAGTCCTTGCCTTGCATGTGCTGGGATCCCATGTGGGCACCAGTTCTAACCCTGGCAGCCCCACTTCCCATCCAGCTTCTTGCTTGTGGCCTGGGAAAGCAGTCAAGGACGGCCCAAAGCCTTGGGACCCTGCACCCATGCAGGAGACCCAGAAGAGGTTCCGGGCTCCTGGCTTCAGATTGGTGCAGCTCCAGTAACTGCGGTTGCTTGGGGAGTGAATCAGCGGATGGAAGATCTTCCTCTCTGCATATCTGATTTTCCAATAAAAATACAATAAATCGTTCAAACAAACAAAGAAAAATAACTGTTTTCTAAGTCTACTAACTGCCCTTCTCACCCTCCTTCTTGCCCCTGCAGTGGAGGTTTCCAAATGCTACGTGGCATCTGCATTTCCTAAGGTTCTAAGAAGTAGACGCTATGTTGTGTTTATTCACATCAATCTCATGGCTTGTTTAGCTCAAACGTTACATTTTTGCCCCACAGAAGCATCTGAAGCATCTGACAGGATCTCTAGAAGGCTCTAGTACAAGCCTCTAAGTGTCTTTAAGGCAGACACTAGACACATGCCCTATAGTATTTTTGCTTTGCTGTTTTCAAGAAAATGAAACAGGTTCTTATTTTAAATGAGGCAGTATTCTTAAATTACCAGAAATCTTACAGCTACATATATATTTTCAAGTATACATATTATAAAGTGAAATGTAAATTCCTTTACCTTCTGAACTCAGAATCAGCCAGCAGTTCTTCCACAATAGTCTTTTTCCTTTGCTTCTTAGGAATTCGTGAATGGTAGAAATCGGCTGGATTGTCAACAATGGTTCCAACCTATAAAAAATTAACTGAAATTATGTCCTACAAGATCTCAATGTCACATTTCAGATCAGCCATAACAAAGCCCCTTTGTAGAAAGGGACAGAAAACACAGGTTATATTATACCAATGTTGAGTTTAGCTTTGGTATCTTTTTATAACAAAAAGACATCACCTATTCAGTCAGCACACTAGTGCTACTAATGAAATTTCTCTTTTAGTTTACAGTAGATGCAGAATTTTCAGTAAATTCACGATGAAGTCAAGGAGAAAAGTGAAATAGTTAATATAAACTTGTTTTTAGCTTCCTAACTCAATGAAATAAATTCTATGACATACTTATTTGATCTCCAGGCTATGATAAATGCTGCTAGATTAGAATTTATCTAGCTACCATTCTGCATTTGTTCATTTATCCAATAAAAATTTATAATAATTAAAGTTAGAGTTCCCACTGTGTGCCAAGAACTCTGCTAAGTATGAAGCAAAGAAACATCTTATCTTGACTTGTGAAGAACCTATGGAAAGATTCACATGTAGATTAAAAAAACCTAAAGTGGGCCCAGTGTGTTTGCTTGATTGACTAATCCTCCCCTCGCAGTGCTGGGATCCCATATGGGTGCTGGCTCGAGTCCCAGCTACTTCATTTCCTGCAGCTCCCTGCTTGTAGGGAGAGCAGGCCTAAAGCCTTGGGATGCTGTGCCCGGAAGAGGCTCCTGGCTCTGGATCAGCTCAGCTCTGGCCATTATGGCCACTTGGGGAGTGAACCAGTGGATGGAAGATTTGTCTCTCATCTCTGGAAATCTGCCTTTCCAATAAAAATAAATCTTTAAAAAAAAAAAAAGATAAAAGGGTCAAATTAAGCAGCACAGACTCTACCCTACCATTTCATAAAGAATTACTGAAGATTTCTGAGATGTTACAAGAATAGATGACTGGCTAAATGTCTGAAAATATACAAGGGAAAGCCAACCTAGGAGCCAAGGACACTTCTATGTATCCACATGAACAGTATGGTAGTCAGGACAACTTTGGAGGAGGTGATTCAATTAGACTTTCATCTGCAAACACTTTGGAAACCAGCTCTTCACTGTTTTCAGAAGCTGCCTGGGGAGCGCCCCTTTGCTTTGAAAAGATGGGATTTGTAAAAGCGACTCTACTTCTCATTTCCATCCTGCATAGACTCTTAAAAAAATAATTTTATTTATTTAAAAGGCAAAGTGAAAGAGAGGGAGAGACAAAGTTCCATCTGTTGGTTCACGCATCAAATGGTGCACAGTGGGGCTGGCTCAGGCTGGGCCATCCACAGGGGTGGCAGAGAACAAGCACTTGAGCTACCTTCAGCTGCTTTCTCCAGCAGCATTGGCAGGAAGCTAATGCTTCCTTTCTGAGTAGGAAAAGCTCCAGCCAGCACACTGATGTGGCATGTCAGTGTCACACATGGTGCCTTAACTTGCTGTAACACAACACACAGATCCCCTAGCCACCTTAAAGGACACTTGTTCTCACCCTAGGATCATTCGTATATTGAACTTTATAGGTTCAGTGACCTTTAGACAGCCGACTGGGAAATTGTCCCAGCTTCTTTTTGAAACACCATTTAAATATATGAAAGCCTCATATAAGCAAGTGGCTCTGTGAATTGGGTCCCCACCAATATTATATGGCCACGGAGCATGCATATTGTAAATATCTTTCTATTTTAAGAGTAAACAGATCACTATAGTTTCCCAAAGTGAAAACCACAGGACTTCCGTGTCGTACCTGGAAGTACTTGGGAAAGCCATCTCTATCATTTTTCTTGTAAAACCTTTTTGGGTCCATGCTTGCTCTCATCTTCAGTGCTTTGAGATCATTTTTCAGTTCATCTGTCAATTCTGGAGCTTTCATACCAAACCAGCCATCACCTGCAGTTTTCTGTCGCTCTTTCTGAAATGCAGATTCAAAAATAAACATTCTAACTTTAACAGGATATTAATTATGCATTTTAGCTCACCCCCCCAACAATAAAACATACAGCAGGTTTTCTGAATTAAACAAATGGTTACTTTACACAAAATTCCTTTCCATTATAAAAGGAATTAAATTGTAAAAAGTGATTTCCTTGGTAAACTAGGCACAGCATCAGTTTCATGAGGACTTTAAAGCATCTACTTTGTCTTTCAACAAGTGAATGATGATCTGTTGGGAGAATAACATACAGCTCCAATTATTGTTTTCTAAAACAGCCCACAAGAGATATTACGTCCCTTAAAATCCCCTTTTACATCACCTATATTAAGGAAACAATACGAAGCTAATTGTCTTGCCCATCTTCCTGTAGTGCTTGAACCTTTTTACCCTAATTATGAAAAGTTTGCCAAAAAATAAATTAAAAAAAAAAAAAAAAGAAAAATATGAAAATGATAAAAAAAAAAAGATATTACTTCAAATATTTGCTCACAGCCCACTATGGGCCAGGGCACATGAATGACATTACTAAAGCACCATGCTCCAAGCTCTTTATGCCTAGCTCAAATGATGGATTTGACAGGCAAAGTACAACAGTGTTTTTAGCTGGCTATGGTAAAATCCCTACAAAAGTTGGCCTTGAGGAAACCACACTAATAAGCAAAGAGGCATGACAGTTACCCTAAATTTTTCCTTTCTCCTTTTGAGGTAAATAAAACTGTAGCTCTCGATTGTTAGATATCTATAATTTTCTTGAGAATTAATATAATGTATAAGCTGAAATTCAGAGTCACACACATCTAAGCAGTCTAAATGGCAAGGTACTGCACTTACCCTGCGCCTCTTCTGAAGCTGACGCTTTGATTCACTGTACGGTGGGACACAGTAATTTTTTTCAAACTCAGGTGTAATGACGGCTTTCTGCAGAAGCTATAAAAATTAAGCTTGCTTTTAAAATAGTATCAGAATGTTATGTAAGGTTTTTCAATATTTTAAGCTTTCTTAAGTTTCACAATTTTAAGCAAATTTGTGTATTTCAAATGATCTCTCACTAATTATTCCCATAAAATTATGACTTAAAAAGGCTTCAGGGAATTTAATATTTTCCTCACAGCAAGATCCAAGTAAGACTGCTCCTGAGCCTACAAAACAGTTTTCAGGAATGCAACTCAAGATTCATCTGGTAACTTCTGAAATTATCAATTCAAAAATGGATAGTCACACATTTCAGGTTCAGGTCTAGGTTTTGAGTCGTACAATAGCACCCTAGACTGTCAAAGAAAGCATAACAAATGCCTAATAGATAATTAAGACACTGCCGTGTGTCAAGTCTTATTTCAGGCTCTGAACAGTGGTTCTCAACTGAGAGCAAGTGGCAATGTCTGCAGACATTTTGGTGGTGGTTGGCTGGGGGGAGCTGGATACTGGCACCTAGCTGGTAGAAGTCCAAGACATTACTAAACATCATACAATGTATAAGACATCCTCCCACAACAAAGAATCGTACAGTTTAAAACACATCAGTAGTTCTGAGATGGAGAAACCTTGTTTTAAAGACACAAAGATAAAGTAAATTAACAATTATACTACAAGACCATGAACCAGATCCTACACTGGGGGGTTCAGAAGCACAGGGAGATGGGGGCAGGGGGTAGAAGAAATGAAGTACTGTGGGGGTTGTGGTTAAAGAACATTTTCCAGACAATAACACAGAGCATTTGCATTGGTCTTCAGAAGGACGGGAATGTTTAGGGGATTTCAGTAGCATTCGTTGGCAAGAATATAGCAGGTAGTCAGTCAAAGAACTAGCAGGAAAGAAGCATCTTGAAGGTTCAGAGAATCACCATGTCAGAGTTCTGACTTCAGAAACAGAAATCCAGCTGAGGTACAAAGGGTGGCTTCAGGAACTAAAAATGGGCAAATCAAGCCAGATGCAAACGGAGTGGTTGATGTCAGTTAGAAATGCCTATACTAGGGCTGGCATGTTGGCTCAACTGGCTAATTCTCCACCTCCAAGAGTCAGGATCCCAAGAGGAGGCTCCCAGCTTTGGATTAGCTCAGCTCTGGCCATCGCAGCCATTTGGAGAGAATCAGTGGATTTCTGTCTCTCCTTCTTCCTGTAATTCTGCCTTAAAAAAATAATAAAATAAAAATACGAGACTGGCGCAAAGCCTAGAGACTAAAGTCCTTGCCTTGCATGCATTGGAATCCCATGTGGGCGCTAGTCCTAATTCTGGCAGCCCTGCTTCCCATCCAGCTCCCTGTTTGTGGCCTGGGAGAGCAGTAGAGGATGGCTCAAAGCCTTGGGATTCTGCACCTACATGGGAGACCTGGAAGGCACTAAGGGCTTCTGGCTTCAAATTGACACAACTGTGGCAGTTGTGACCGCTTGGGAAGTGAATCAATGGAGAGAGGATCTTCCTCTCTGTCTCTCCACCTCTCTGTATAATTGACTTTCCAATAAAAATAAATAATAACCTTTAAAAAAATGTATAAAAAGCCTAGTCATAGACTGTTGTTTATAAAGGAATAATATCCTTTGCAAAACAAAGGACAGAAGTCCCCTGGGCTTGGTGGCTGACTACAAATGGGAAGACTATTGTCATTACCTGGGATACAGAATACAAAAAGGGAACTGCTTAGGCTATGGAGGGGAGGGGAATTATATAAAGCCGAGTGCCTGAGGCACAACTAAATGAAGAGACACCTGGATGTAAAGGCCTAATGTTAGCAGCCATCAAGGGTAGAAAATACAGATCTGGGACAGGGCAGGGCAAGGGGATGGCAAGACACTTCTAGTTATCCACATGAACAGCTCTTCACTGTTTTCAGAAGCTGCCTGGGGAGCGCCCCTTTGCTTTGAAAAGATGGGATTTGTAAAAGCGACTCTACTTCTCATTTCCATCCTGCACAGACTCTTAAAAAAATAATTTTATTTATTTGAAAGGCAAAGTGAAAGAGAGGGAGAGACAGAGTTCCATCTGTTGGTTCACGCTTCAAATGGTGCTAAGTGTTTAGGCAACATTATGGCACAGCAGGTAAAGCCAACGGTGATGCCAGCATCACATACTAGCACTGCCTTGAGTTCTGGCTGCTTCACTTCCCATTCAGCTCCCTGCTAACAGCCTGGGAAGGTAGCAGGGGACGGCCCAGGTACTTGGGCCATATGGAGATCCAGAAGAGGCTCCTAATTAGCCTAGCTCCTGCCACTGTGGCCACTTGGAGTGGACCAGGAGATGGAAAATCAGTCTCTAACTCTGCCTTTCAAATATAAATGAATCTTAAAATTATCCAATCAATCTTTCTGCAATTACACATAAACTTCTATTTATATGCACCTATGTACTTTTTCCTGAGAGGAGACAGCCACTTACAACTTTCATGCTGCCAACAGGACATGGTAAGGAAAATGGCAAGGAAAGAGAGAAAACTCCTGGGTAATAACTGGTGAGCACAAGAAGAGGACTTGAATCTTCTATCAAATTCATTTTTGGGCCCGGCGCGATGGCACAGTGGTTAAGGTCCTCGCCTTGCACGCCTGGGATCCCATATGGGTGCCGGTTCTAATCCCGGCAGCCCCACTTCCCATCCAGCTCCCTGCCTGTGGCCTGGGAAAGCAGTAGAGGATGGCCCAAAGCTTTGGGACCCTGCACCCATATGGGAGACCCGGAAGAGGCTCCTGGCTTCAGGTCGGCTGTTGCACTCACTTGGGGAGTGAATCAGCGGACGGAAGATCTTCCTCTCTGTCTCTCCTCCTCTCTATATATCCATTTTTCCTAAAAATAAAATAAATCTTAAAAAAAAATTCATTTCATGAATTCTCTTTTCTAGGTAAAATTCCATGGAAAGAAGCAGTTGACTACAGACAGGGACAAAAAACAGCACCCTAGGCCAATGAGGTCTTACTGCAGTCTTTGACCAAGGACTAGTTATTTCTAGAAGGGACTGGTTGGTTCTATAAAAACCTAACAGAATGATTCACACAACTTACCTCATTTTTCTTTTTCTCTTTGATCTGAGTAAGAGTTTTCTTGTTAGATTGTAGTTTGTTTGCATTAAAATTAATATACAGACCACCCAGCTGCTTGATACTCAAACCGGGGTCTATACTGCTGCTTGTCAATTTCAAGCTGAAAGAGAAACCTTCACTTAAATATCAAACATTTACATAGAAATGGAAACAAAGAACAGGCTAAATGCCCACCCCTTTGAGCTTTTTGAGAGGTGATTATGTCATATAATACATATGCCAACAGAGTTCTTAAAGAAGAGAATGACAGAAAGGTGGAGCCAGATCTGGCAATTCAGCTCAACTTTACACATGGGTGGCTTGATTGGCTAATCTTCTCCCTTGCAGTACTGAGACCCCCCATAAGGTTGTTGGTTTGTGTCCTGGAAAAGCAGTGGAGAATGGCCCAAAGCCTTGGAACCCTGTACCCGGGTGGGAGACCCAGAAGAAGTTCCTGGTTCCTGGCTTCAGATTGGCTCAGCTCCGGCCATTGCAGTCACTTGGGGAGCCAATCATTGAACGGAAGACCTTCCTCTCTATATCTCCTCCTCTCTGTATATCTGACTTTCTAATAAAAATAAACAAATACTTAAAAAATAAAATAAATAAAAAGGTGGCATTTTAGCATGATGGGTGAAGTTAGTACTTGGAACACCCACATTCACTATTAGAGTGCCAGCTTTAGTACTGGCTGCTCTGTGCTTTTGCTCCAAATTTCCAGTTAACACACGTGGGAAACAGCGGATAATGGCTCAAGTGCGTGGGGCCCTGCTATCCAAGCGGAAGATCTGGATGGAGCTGCTGGGTCCTGGCTTTGGACAGGACCAACTGTAGGCATTTGGGGACTGAATCAACAGATACAAGACCTCTGTCACTGACTTTTAAATAAAAACGAATCTTTAAGAAATAAAAATAAAACTTACAGTTTAGACTTTGTGTTACTTAGTAAGTCGTCTTCATCACTGAACTCAGCATTTTTATTTTTATCTTGGTCTGATTGTTCTTCTTCACTTTCATCCTCTTCCTCCTCCTCCTCCTCCTCTTGTTCCTCCTCAGTGGCAACCTCTTTTACCTTGTCTTCGTCTTCTAAGTAAAAATGTTTATCAGCACTCAATCCAGGAGTGGTGTCAATCACAAACAATGCATCGTCACAAGACTTGCCACTTAGAGCCTCTTTCTGCCCACTCCTTTCAACATAGCACACACTGTCCTCTTCATCATCACTGCTTACAGACTCCTGGCTTTCGTCGCTACTGAGAACTAACAACACAGAGCCCTCTGCTTCCCCGGATGTGCTGAGTGCAGACCTTGGTGTGCTATCACATTTGCGATTTGCGTGCCCTTCGCCATTCCTGTCCTTGTTGACACCCATAATCATGGACTCCTCATCATCGCTTTCACCACTGGGACCAAGCTCCGTCAAGTCATTTGTTTTTATGGTGCTCCTCCTCTCTTCATTCCATCTGTCCACTTCCACAACTGCAAAACTCTGAACTAAGGACTTTGCCACAGCCTCACCATTCAGACTTGAGGGCTCTGTGTGGGCATGGTGATGAGCAGCTGAATGCTTCTGAGATGCCCCCAACCCCTGGGGGCTGACATCCTGAAGTTCAGAGAGATGCAGCTGAGAGGCTGCATTAGTGTCTTTCCCCTCATTTACCATCTTGTTGTTTCCTTCACCCAAACTCTTAAAATTCTGCTTCATTTCTTTAGGAGACACAATACTGGCCTGTTCTTCCTCCTTTTCATTAAAAGATTGATTTTGTGTAGTCAGTATTTTGTTTGAATTTATGTGGAAGGAATCATCATCCACGTCATTATAAATTTCATTAGTGGGTAGACTAGACTCATTTACCTGAGAAAGAGAGCTTGGTTGTACAGGAGAAGTTCGTTTGGCATCCACATCCTCTGTGTTCTCAGGCACATCAATGACGGGCTTTTCATTTCTTGATCCAATGTGAGCATCCTTCCTTCTGGCCTGTGTCTGTGTTCTCCGCGGCTGCCTACTGCTGGATCTCCTGGGTGTAAGTTCACAGAATAAAGCACTTGCACACGACTTGGCGGCGGACTCCTGCTTTGCATCTGCCCCAGATTTAGCCTTGCTCCTCTGGGCCCTAGTGGCTGGCTCTGCAGAAGGCACGACTCTCGAGACACCTGAAGTATGGGATTCTGCTTCTGAGACAACTTCTTCAGTCTGAGATTCACTCGCTGTGGTTACTTTTGGCCTTTTCCTAGTTGACACGGGGGTGGGGGCAATTACGATCTGCCTCCTCCTAGTTATTCTTAAGATGGGTTCCTGGGTCTCAGATACTGAATAGTTGGACTCTGTATCAGAGGTTTCACCATCAGATGGTTCAGTTGCTTCTGGCAGTGCAGCTGTCGGCCCATTCTTCCTCTTCCTGGATTTAGGATTTCTAGGGACTGGGCTGTCTTTTGGGTCATCAGATTCAGATTTCTGCTTGTTTTCTGGATGTGCTCGACACCCACCAGCGGTAGAATCCTGCAGGCCAAAAAGGAAACCGGGCCAACACAAGAGGGAAGTTACCCCAGAAGTTAACATCCTAAAGGGCACTAAACACAAACCTGGGACTTTGCACAGTTATTTAACATCGGTTCTGACTCAGGCATTTGCTTCACATCCCTCTATCTTAGTTCTAGATCTAACGGCAGAATAACTTAAAAATAAAGAGTGGTGTAGTGCTGAGGCTCTGGCATTCGGTATGGAAACCAGGAGTCCCAGCTGTTCTACTTTCATCCAGCTCCCTGCTTATGGCCTGGGAAAGCAGTGGAGGACGGTTCAAGTCCTCCGTATACTCACGTGGGAGACCTGGAAGAAGCTCCTGGCTCCTGTTTTCAGACCCGCCCAACTGCAGCAGTTGAGGCCCTTTGGGGAGTGAATCAGTGCATGGAAGATCTCTCTACTTCTGTCTCTCCTCTGCTGTGAACTCTGCCTTTCAGGTAAAAACAGACACATCTTAGGAAAAAGTATTTTCTCTACTCAATGTCAAACACACAGACTGTATAGATATTCTGGTCTGCTGACACAAGAAAGGCAACATTAACTGAGCAAACAGGCATTTAGGAACACACCGAGGGAGGCACCCTCACCCAAGGGCGTCCCACGCCAGCAGGAGGCGTGCCGGCTCATCTCTCAGGCCCCCATAGCGAGACTCGGGCTCCCGGAGGAGGGACTTCACAACCACCCAGCGCAAGGCACTCTCTTCCTCAAAACCAAGCGGCTTCCACGGCAGCTGAGATGCCGCCCAGCACGCTGCACTGCGTGTACCTCTCCCGGTCGGCGCTGCCCAGGCTCCCCCCTATCTCTGCGTCCGCCGCAGTTGCTCGAAGCGGCGAGGAAAAGCAGGATCACTCACCTTCTGCTGGGGACTTGCAGCTGTTGAAGCTTGGCTCACCACGCTCTTCCGCGCCGATCTGGTGACCACCATCTTCCCGACTCCCGGCTCACCAGCAGGAACCACGACGGGCTTCTGCTCCGGCGCACGGGAAATGCGTCAGAGAAGCGCCCTGCTCCCACCCCAGGACTCCGGAAGTCGCGGGACTCTCGAGCCCGTCCGCGTCCTCGGTCCCTGGCCTGGGCGGTTCAAGATGGAGGTCGCCTTGCGGTGTAGCGTAGTTTCCGCGCTCGTGCTGCGCGAGAAAGACGAGAGGCCTTGAAGGGAGAAACGGGACCCGCAGCGAGTGGCCAAGGGTGAATAAACGGAGCATCAGGGATAAATAAGACAAGAAATGTGAAAGAGATGGTGAAGGAGAGTGCTAGTTTTTTTTTTCCCCAGTGAGAGGAAGAGAGCAAGATTCAAAAATTTCTTGGTTTTCTGTTAGGTTTCAGGATTTTTGTCCCCCTTCCCCCCTTTTTTTCCCTAAAGGCCAAGGGGCGGCTAGTTAAGGTAGTGAAGACTCTTAGTGGCGGACACAAGGGGAGGGATAGTGAGGGGAAGGGTTTGGAGCCAGGCTTCACTCCCAAAGAGCCACAGGCACCATCCCCTTCCGGGGGCAGGTGCCGCGGCCACAAGAACCCTAAGAAGGGGCGTGGAGCTGGGGGCTTGCCGAAAGGCTCCTAGGTAGTTTGGAATGGCCCAGGTGAGGAGTTTCCGGAGCCATCAGCATTACAGGATCGCCCTAGTCAGGCCCCGGTGGCACGCGGGCCTCCAACCATTTTAAGGATGCAGGGTTTACTAGAATATGTTTGCGCGGTTGTAAAAGGAGCAAAGAAGAAAGTAAGTTATTCAAGGTGAGAAAGGATGAGTGCCCAGCCTAAGCCGAACTCTTCTTTAACAAAAACCAGTTTGGTTGTTAAAGTCACAGCACATTTCCCTGTTGGTACGTGGTTCCCCGCCAGAGCACTGCCGTCAGCCAGATGTGCCAAGCGACAAGGTTTTGGCCTCTTACATGAAGTTGGGGGATCTCTAGGAGTACGGTCTTAAGAGGGGAGGCAGGGTCGTCTCCCTGACTTCTTCAGTTTAATTCCTGAAAAGTTGTCCAATCCTTTGTGCCACGGGAATGCAGACCGTGCGCTACAGATGGCATAACCGCGAGGAAGAACATGAATTCCTGGGGGCAATGTTGTGGCCAAGTCTGTGCCCACTGAGTGCCTTTTGCAGCCTTGACTGCTCTGCTTTCAATCCAGCTCCTTGCTAACGCTGAAGAATCATGTTGGAGGTTTTGACTTGGTGGTGGAACCACATCTAGCCATACCCTGATTATTTAGGGAGTTGGGCAAATTTTCATCTCTTATGAAGTGTGACTTTTCCAATTTTTACCTACTCTTGTTTCAAGAAAGACTTAATATTCAAACCTAGCAAACAAGGGCATCTGTCCAGAAAGATTACCCAGAGTCATATGCCCCTACTCAAATGCTGATTTCTTTAGGAAATCTAGTTTGTATTAACCCACCACCAGACTACTTTATAGCATGTGCCGCCAGTGCTGTCCACACGGTTCTCCCAGCAACAGACATAGCATATGTTTACTGCTCTTGTTCATGTTCAGGCCTTCTCATACCATTCCCAATGTTCTGCATGCCCCTTGAAGGCATGCGTCTACGTGTAGCACCTAGCAGTGTCCAGCACTCAGTAGCCGCTCAATACATCTGTTGAATGGATTAATAAATACTTATATCAATTACATGTTTAAAAATTGTTCATAATTTATTTTCAAGTCATAATGTAAATAGTTCCAAATCAGTATAATGCTGCAGGATACACCTGACTGTTGAAACAATTCAATTAAAAATATACAGCTCACACTTGATTTTTATTAAATTCAATATAAGTGAAATTAAAAATTATAAACATTTAATTGATAATGCTTTGTATTTGATTTGATTTTATAGTATACCACTACAAACACACAGGAAAAAGTATTATCCAAAACATCTTCCCTTTCTAACTATTTCTAATTCTGAAAACTATAAAAATAATGAAAACATTTTCTAAAAGTAAAGTAGATATATCCCTTCACCAACTTTGTGGGTGAAAGATAGAAACAATTTTTGATACATTAAGAAGTTACTGACTGAAAAATTAGGTTCATTAGTATAAACTGGTGAATTGAGTATGAAAAAATGAATTCTCATTAAAATAGCTTCATATTTCTATAAATGTACATTTACAGAAAGATGAATTGTTGGCCAAAATACAATAAATGTTAATTGCTTATATTCCCAGATATGAATACTGTGTAGAAAACCTAGAAAGAAAATTTTATATAAAGAAAGAATTGGGTCTTAGACCTTCTATCACAGGAAACTAAAATCCTAATTTTGTTTACTACTTGCTTCGTATGGAAAAATATGAACTACTCATGCAGTGTGGATAGATTAACTTTATTTTTCCATTTTGTACGTGCTGAACCAGATTATCTGCTGTGGGAACTAAAAAATGATTATCTATTAATTATGCTGCAAGTTCTAAAGCTAGCCTTCCTAAACAAGTTCCATACTAACTGGCACATGGTCCTCAGAATTTACACTGTGACACTTGGTCCTTCTGGTGCCTATAGCTTCTTGGATGGGAATCTGAGACAGAATTGTGATAGAACAAATTTCAAGTTACAGTAAATCCTGTTAAAGTAAGGTTCCTGTGTATTTTGGAAACATAACCCACAAGCCATAGCTTCTTTTTATGTTTACTAGATAAGCACAATTAAATAAATACTATGTTGGGTTAATGGGTTCCTATTGTCCCATAAAACTTGTTAGTTTTAGTTTTAAGTGACTATTTGGTTTTATTTATGCCTTGTTAAGTACTAAGATACTTGGAAACTATTTACTATATTCTGATCATTTGCTTAGAAAAAAAATAAGATGTGAATATAAGCTGGAAAGTCATAAGGAATCAAAAAAATCTGGTTTGAGTTCTAGGTACAGAGTAAAACACCATAACTTATTTAACAAGCCCACATGTGATCCCATCGCATATCAATGTATAATATTGCTTCTTTGTCAGAGTTTGAATGGGGAAGGGAGAGATCACAAAAAAAGTTTCTGCTGAATTAAACACTACAGTGGTTTTGCCTTTTTGTTAATAACCTTCAGATGATTTAATTTATTCTAAGTTTAGGAGAACACTAGGTATTTTTTTTTTAATCAGTGATTGTAATATTTAAGTTCCTTCACAATCTCAGGTCATTGTAGATTTAAAATATAATTTCCTTAGGACTTACACGTAATAGTGTACATTTACAAATTGGAAAGTTAATTATGTATTTAATAACATCACATACAACTAATATAAATGCTAGAAGGCTTTAACAAGCTCAAAATGTAAACACATTTTAGCAGGCAAATCAGCTGATTTTCCATTATAATTCTATTTATAAAGCTATTCAATCAACCACAAAACCTCATTGAGAAAACGGATAAATTGCATTTATTTTGAATATGAAACTGTACCTCTCTTCTGTAAGCTTAAAAAAATGAGCAAAATTAGTTTTATATAGTCCTGTGGCTTAAAAAATATGATACAAGATATTTAAAAAGAATTTTTTCAAACTATTTGGGTTACATATACAAGTTTACAGAATTAAGGAGATCTGTGGTCACAGGATTTCTTATTTGCAACTTTCTGGTTCTTAAACTAAGGAAGAAATATATACTCAATGTTCTATAGTCTCTTCTAACTCTAAAGTTTTTATTATATTGTCCTGCTAAACAATGGCTAAGATTGAGCCGAAACAGCATGGTCTACATGTACATAGGTCTACAGGTCCTGAACTGAAGTATTTTTTTATTCTTGTCTGGCTTTCTTTCTCCTAGTCAGGAATTAATGCAATACAAGTATCATACCTTTTACTCAACTGATTTTTAAATGGCAGCTCTGTGCCCCCTCTCTCCAGAGCCTATTGTGCCTTTCACATGGTAAATGCAAACAGTAATTTCAGAGTTCTGGTTTCCTTTGGTCCATTTTTGCAAATGACAGAGGATAAAATATGGCACAAGAATACAAGTTAAACCATTAAACTATAAGCAAAGACACACAAAAAATTTTAAGTTGCCATTCATATACTGAAGAATGAATTTTATTTACATTACTAGTCGATCCCAACTTCTCCAGTTACTCTGAAATAGAATTATTTTATCAATGACAGGAAAAATATTTTCTAGTATTTCATTTTTAACAACTGTAATTAAATTGCTTAATTATACTACAGAGTAAAAAGCAATGAATTATTTTGGAAATAAAAAATATGTATATACATTACCCTGATACCTAGGCCAAAATATATCTAACAACAAATTTTCCTGATTTCTATTAGTCATAAAAAATAAAGGAAAAATATATTGCAAGTATTTGCTCTATAAGCAATTTCAGTAAGGAAACAAAAGTTTAATGAGAACAATATGGCTGTTCATGTGAGTGGGCTGACGGAGGAGCAAAGCATGGCAGAGAACATACTGTCAAATATAGCTTGAAGATCTGTGTACACCTCAATTTTATCTTCAAGGAAAATACAGATTAGGGGGCTGTGCTCCCAAGTCACACTTAGGAACCTCTTCTTTTAGCTTGCAAGATGTAGCCTTTGGATTTGATGATGCCTCTGCTCTTCACGATGACAGAGTACCGCAGCAGCCACAGGGGCACCCAGTCGTGGGCTTGGATATCAGGGATGCTTTCCCGAAGAGCCTCTTGGAAGCTTGCCTCAGAAAGTAGTTCTGTGAAAAACAGACAACAAAGGTAAAGTATTAGATTGCAACCAAAGCAGTCTGATATGTAGGTGAGCACTGAAGTGCTACAGGCTGGGAGTGAGCGATGCTTGTGTGTGTACTATGAATCTGAACCAGGCAGTTCTCTGAGAAGAATCTAGAGCTGGACTCCACTCTTTTTCACTCGTAATATCTGGTGAGTGAGCCTGGACATTTGCACTATCTGAAAAGTCTCCAGGGGGAAAACATGGGAAAGTAGAAAGAATTTTTGAAAGAGTCACTCATGATCTTGTCAGAGATGACACATCATTTCCACTGCCATTTCCTTAAAACTATTTTCCACGGATCTCTGCATTTACCGTGTGTGTGTGCATTACTACACATACGTCCATATACTCTGTGTCTGTGACTATATACAAAGCCACTTCAGAAAGACCAACAAGAGAATAGTATTGAGGTGCAGTGAGGTAACTTGTCACTTGCAATGTCAGCATCTCATATTGGACGGACTGTTCAAGTCAGACCTGGATGGAATTCCTGGCGTCTGGTTAGGGCTGGCCCAGCCCTGACTGCTGTGGCCATCTGGGGAGTGACCCACGAGATGGAAGAAGTCTTTCCTCCCCTCGCCCTATCACTCTGCCATTTGAATATACAAATACCAAATCTTTAAAAAAATTACTTGAGTCATCATTGCTGCCTCCCAAGGACTGCATTAGTAGGGAGCTGGAGTCAGGAGGTGAAGGCTGGGTATCAAATACAGCTATTCCAATACAGGACATAGATACCTTAACCTCTGGGATAAAGACCCATCTATATTTGCCTTTTAATATTCTCAAAAGTTTTAAAGTACCCTCATAAACATATGTATGTATTGATCTGTTTACATGGTATATATCCAAAGGGTTTTCAGAAAAATTATGGAGGGCCTGGTGTGGTAGCCTAATGGTTGAAGTCCTCACTTTGCATGCACCAGAATCCCATATAGGCACTGGCTTGTGTCCCAGCTGCTCCACTTCCCAACCAGCTCCCTAATTGTGACTTGGAAAAGCAGTCGAAGACAGCCCAAAGCCTTGGGACTCTGCACCCGTGTGGGAGACCTGGAAGAAGTTCCTGGATCCTGGCTTCGGATTGGCATAGCACCGGCCATTGCACTCACTTGCGGAGTGAATCTTCGGACTGAAGATCTTCCTCTCTGTCTTTCATCCTCTCTGAATATCTGATTTTCCAACAAAAATAAAATAAATCTTAAAAAAAGGTCAGAATTTGGGAGGGTCTTGATGGGTCAGAACCAGAGTCTGTTAGAAAGCTATAGTAAAGACGTTGGCTCAAGACTTTAGGCTGTCCTCAACTGCTTTCCCAGGCCACAAGTAGGGAGCTGGATGGCAAGTGGGTCCACCAGGACATGAACCAGTACCCATATGGGATCCCAACGAATGCAAGGTGAGGACTTTAGCTTCTAGGCTACTGCGCTGGGTCCCAGAGAAGTCTTTTATTCACTGGTTTACTGCCCAAATGGCTATAACAATTGGAGCTGGGCCAGTTTGAAGCCAGAAGTTTACTCTGGATCTTCCACATGGGTGCAGGGTCTCAAGAACTTGGACCATCCTTTGCTGCTCCTCCATGCCATTGTCAGGGAGCTGGAGTGGAAGTGGAGCAGCCTGGACTCAATCAGTACCCATTTTGGATGCTGGCATTTCAGGCAGAGTCCTTACTTGCTAAACCACAGCATTGCTCCCTGTTTACTGTGTTTTTATTCCATTTTTTCCTCAAAAAAAATTTAAAGATTTTATTTCCATTTATTTGAAAGGCACAGTTACAGAGACAGGGAGGGCTAGAATGATAGTGACACACTGATACACACACACACACACACACACACACACACACACACACACACACACACAGAGTGAGCAAGCAAGAGGAAGGTATCTTCCATCTGCTGGTTCATTCCCCAGATGCCACAGCAGCCAGGGCTGGACCAGATGGAAGCCAGGAGTCAGAAACTTCATCCAGGTCTCCCATGTGGGTTGCTGGTGCCCAAGTACCTGAGCCATCTTCAGCTGCTCTCCCAGGCACATTAGCAGGGAGCTGGATCAAAAGCAGAGCAGCCAGAGCTGAACCTGGCGCTCACACAGGGTGTTGGCATGGCAGACGGCAGCAGTTTAACCCACTGCAGCATGGTAACTCCTAGGCAGAATGTACTGCAGCTGTGCACAAAGTGGGAAACTAAGTCCTTTTTGGTATGTTCTTATATGTCAGGCGTTTGACAATTGATTGTCTTTTTAATTTTAGTTTTAAACTAAACAGATACACGATATGTTTGTTAATATACAGAAGACTAAGTAACTTAGATTTTAGAACACGCACAGCAATTCTCAGATTTTTCACTAAAGTGACTTACTTTTTTTTAAACAAAACTTATTTATTTGAAATGTAGGATAAGACAGAGACAGAAGGATCTTCCTTCTGCTGGTCCACTGCCCAAGTGCCTGCAGCTGGGCTGGGTCAGAGTGGAGCCCAGAGTCAGAAAATCCATCTGTCCCTCCATGTACCTGAGACTCAGGCCACGGTCTGCTGCCTCCCAGGGTGTGAATTAGCAGGAAGTTGGATGTGGTATTGAGGTGGGACTTGCTCCTAGGGGACATGGAAGGTGGGCATCCTGACCCACTGTGCCATAGCCCACTCCTAAAAGGACTTTCTCAAAGAATGTTGTTTACTTGTTAGCTGAAATCTCTACTATAGCAAGGAAACAAAAGTCCTTGTAGTGTAGTTGTATCTAGTTCTGGTATCACTAAAATGGACACAGGTAAGAAAGTAGCTTTTAAATTGGAATACTGCGCTAGCAATGCTTCAAATCAGGAGACAGCCGTCTAGAGAAGAGGCTTCAGATGCATCCAAACCCAGGCCCTGTGCCAACGGTTACCCTAGCTAGTTTCCTCAACTTGGAGGCTCTAGTTCCTCATCAAGAAAGTGCTGTGTTTCAGCTGCTGCAGGGATTAAAGATACTCTCTTGAATTATGTAGGATGATGTCTGGCATTCAATGAACTGTAACTGTTAACATTCTTCTCCTGTTACTCCAATGAAGCAGGGAAAAGCAATGGGGCGGGGCAGACGGCCAACACATAGGATCTTTATAAGTTATCCATAGGTACAAAAGTGAACAAATTGCATCTACCCACTGAACATGTGATCATGTTAGACATGGAAGTAAAAGCTAGATGTTTTTTCTTCAAGGAGTATTTATAAACAGTTATTTGATAGTTATTAAATTAGAATTTCTATTAAAAAATTAGGTTTAAAACTTTCACAGGATATTTCTCACTTCTAACTTAGTGAATATCTTTGCATGTTAATATTATCTTCTAGCGTTTTTCTAGTTATCTTGTGAAATGTTAAGAGGCAGATAAGCCATTCTCAGTAGCAATACTTTGAATTAACATTAACTACATGTCCTGACAGTAATGATTAACAAAATATATAATCAATTATTTCACCAGGAGTCAGCATTGTGGCATAGCAGGTAAAATCACCATCTATGACTCTGGGATTCCACATGGGTGTTTATTCGAGACCCGGCTGCTCCACTTCTAAAGCAGTGGAAGATGGCCCTGCTGCTTGGGCATGCGCACACGTGTGGGGTATCTAAAAGAAGCTCCTGGGTCCTCCCTTCCGCCTAGTCCAGACTAGCTGTTGGCAGCCATCTATGGAGTCAATCAGCAGATGGAAGATTTTCTGTCTCATCCTCTGTGTAACTCTTAACTAAATCTTTAAGCAAAGTCCATCTTCAGATGTTCGTTATGTTTCAAATTTAATTATATCTGCTTTTTTCAGGTTTTTATTCTTTGTAATTAAGTAGCTCTCTGATCCAATCTTGGCCATGCTAGACAATCTATTTATTACTATTTAGGGTGTCCTGTAAAGCTCAGCAGACCCCTTCATCTTTTCCTCTTCTTGGGCAGAAGTAAAAATAAAGGCTTACACTTTGAACTAACCATTATGAATAATCCAGGACAGCAACACTGTCCATTCATCACTATAAAGCACACTTTGATTTCAACAAGCAGCTTTCTATAAAGTCCATGGTCCAACGCTACAAATGAAAGCAGCCATCTCACCTTTAGGGTCGTTATGAGTCAGCAGCTGTATATCAAACTGCTTTGCAAATGCAGTCAGATCAGGAGGCATCACACAGCAGGAGGCAAGGTTAACCTGGTTACTATTTGGTTTTACCTAGAAGTGAAAGTGAAATAATTTTTTTTTTACCGTGTTAAGCAATAGAGAAAGTAAGGGAAAAAAGAGAGAAAGAAGGAATAACACTTTCTTTAGGGTTTTCTTATCTGAAAAAATGAAAAGGATGTGGTCAAAGATGAAGCATAAGGAAATATTATTATGCTTTTAAAACTGCATGTATGAAATGCATGAAATCTGTTCCCTTAATATACAAAATAAAAAAGAAAGCTAAATAAGAGACTAATAAGTTACTTCTCTAATAATTATGTGGGATGCTAGGCCAGAGAGTGGAGGTGATTAGATTTCTCAAAAAGATTTATTTGTTTGAAAAGCAAAGTGAGAGACAGAAATGGAGAGACAGAGAAAAAAAGATCTCTAATTTGTTGGTTTATTCTGCAAATGGCAGCAACACTGGGCACTGAATCAAGCTGAAGCCAGGAGCCAGGGATTGCATTTGGGTCTCCAACATGGATGATAGGGACTTCAGTAACTGAACCCTTAAGCACTACTTCCCAGGTGTAACCTGAACCTACGCTTTGATATGGGACGCAGATGTCCCAAGCAGGCAGGGTGAAGTGTTGCACCAGCTGCTGGTCCCGGTTTATGACACCCACTCCTTATCAAGCTGTATGGACATACAGTCTTGTACACCTTTAAATAACAGAAAAAGTACTGGTTATAAACCATATTTCCTTGCTTAGGAAATTATAGCCAGGGCTTAATAATGGCTAAATAGAATAGTATTTTCAAGCTGGTGTTGTGGCATTGTAGTCTAAGGTTCTTCCTTTGGTGCTGGCAACCCACATGAGCTCTGTTCCAAGTCCCAGCTGCTCCAATTCCCATCCAGTTCTCTGCTTATGGACTGGGAAAGCAGCGGAGGATGGGGGCCCTTGCATCCATGTGGGAGACCTGGAGAAGGCTTCTGGCTCCTGATACAGATTAGCTCAACTCTGGCCATTGTGACAGAAATCTCTTTCTCTCTGTCTTCTCTAATTCTGCCTTTCAAATAAAAAATAAATCTTTTTAAAAATGTAGTATTTTCAATATGTCAGTAAAACTGAGGGAAATAGCCTTAATTCATTTGGCTCTGCAAGTTTCAATACATTTTCTAGTGTATTTGCCACTCATTTTAAATAGGACCAATATTTAGCTCAGTTAGATGTACTATTTAAAAAAACCCAATGCACCCGTTAAAACCCACACAGGAAGCAGTCAGCATCAGTGAGTGGCCGCTGTGTGTAGGCCGAGGTTCTGCAGCATGCAGCTGAGACTGAATCCTGAAGACTCCCCCTCCCCGGGGGCTGCTCAGGGTGTACCCTACCTGTGCCCACTGATACAGTTGCTCCAACTGTGTTCTGTCCAGATCAGAGGTCCCTATGGCAACAATCTTTTTGCTTCGCACTAAGCTTTCTAATTCCTCCCAGTAAGGCTGTAAGTGTTCCAAGGAAAGATTCACTCCATCTTCAATAGGCGGGGAAGCAATGATCACAGAATCCAGCTGGGCAACTCCAAGGACGGAACAGGCTGACGACAGAGAGATGACAAAGGAGAGAACTGTTACCTGGCAAAAATAAATACTTCCAACATCCACAAAGCAACCCCCTGACTTTTGTCCATGTCATTTGCTAGCTTTCTATTACTAGACTTCATTATTTACCTTTCACTTAGAACATCCTCATCTTTCAATAAATGCCAATTACCTGTTCATCCACTTCTCTGGATGTCAGGCGAGTGGAGCTTTTTCTGAGAAGCAGGCTTCCTTCTTGTCTACTGGACCCCATGATCTTTTGGTAACCTCCTTATCTCCACAGCCATTGTCTTTCTCACTTTGTTGGGTTTTATATATGTATATGTGTGTGTATATATATATTTTAACTTGAAAAGTAGATTTACAGAAAGAGAAGGAGAGACAGAGAGATATCACCCATGTTCTAGTTCACTCCCTAAATGGCTGTAACAGCTACAGCTGGGCTGGTCCAATGCCAGGAGCCAGGACCTTCTTCCAGGTCTCCCACATGAATGAGGGCACCCAAGGACCTGGGCTATCTGCTGGTTTTCCAGGCATATTAGCAAGAAGTTGGATAATAAGTGGAGCAGATGGAAACTGAACTGGTATCCATATTGGATGCAGGCACTGCAGCTAGAGGTTTTATGCACTAAGCCACAGCACTGGTCCTTGTCTGTCCTGCTTGCTCACTAGTATCTCATATGAGTGATCACAAGATTTCCAACCCAATATTTATTCTATAGTTGGTAGTTATGGCCAAGAATAAACTTAAGATCATGAAAAACTAATTTACAGCTTTAATCTATAAAGAGAATTAGAGGGGAACAGAAACAGAGTGAAAACAAGACAGAGAGGGAGAGAGACATGAATCTTCCATCAGATCTTCCGTCCACTGGTTCACTCCCCAAATGGCCCCAACAGCCAGGGTTGGATCAGGCCAAAGCTAAGAATCAGAAATTCCATTTGGGTCTCCCACATTGGTAGTAGGGGCCCAAGCACTCGGACCATCAACTGCTGCCTTCCGAGGGGCACTGGGTCCAGCAGGAAGCTGCATCACAAGAGCAGCCACTGGACTACAGCTAGCAATGTGACATGGCATACTAGCAAGGCAAGCTGAGCCACAACTCCTATGCCGCAAGGCTCATATCATTCTAGAATTTCTATAAAAATTTAAGAGCTTGTTTTAAACAATTATCATTCATTCCAACTTCTTGAAGAACCAATGAGTTAAATCTTTACCATATATATAAATAATGGAAAAATGCTTTAAGGGAAAACTTTGGTCACTGTATTACCTGAATAATCCAAAGAAGTGCTGAAAATGGAAAGATAGAAAGTGTTTGTTTATTCTGTGGTAGTTGTTTTGGTACCTCAGCTATAATACTAAAAGGACTGAGAATGTGATTAAGTATTAAGAGCACAGGGACTGCAGTTAAAGTTACTGCCTGCAACGCTGCTATTCAATATGGGCACAGAATAATGTCTTTTAGCTTCTCCACTTTAAATTCAGTCTGCTGCTAATGGCCTAGGAAAGCAGTGAAAGATGTTTCAAGTACTTGGGCCCCCTCAACCCACATGGGAGCCCATTAGTTCCTGGCTTTAGCCTGGACTTGCTCTGGCTATTTTGGCCATTTATGGAGTGAACCAGCAAATGGAAGATCTCCTTCACTCCCTCTTTCCTTCTCTCTGTAACTCTGACTTTAAATAAATGTAAGTCTTTAAAAAATAAGAATATGTTAAGTGTTACGAATGAAACAATTTAAGAAATGTCAAGAATATAATAAATATAAGAATACAATTATATGGTAGTAGATAGTTAACCTTTATTATATCTTTTATATTCCTTTTATGTATCAAAATATGATGATACAGGACTCATAGTTACATAGCTGCTTTAAGAAATTAAAATCAGTTCATTTTTTTTTCACTTGGATCTGAATACAACTCATAATTAGTACACCTACACTAATTTAAACTCCACTATTAAGAAAAAGTTAAATCTTTGCTTACCCATGTCAATTGCATTTCTGGTTGATGATGAAGAGTTTGCTTCAACAATGAACAGTTTTGCTTGGATAACAAAGGAAAAGGATTACTCCATTTCAGAATACATTTACTATATAGTATTAACACTGTTAGGATAATAGGATAACAGATAATTCTGAGAGAAATTTTTATTCCTTGTGTAATAATTTTATAGCTTTCATTAAGACATAAAATATATTTCTATTATAATTCTGAAATTATTTGCTAGTTAAATATTTGTTAAAACAAAAAACCCAATTATTAATTTTCTACTTATTAGAAGATAGGGCAAATAAATATAGGAGCTTCAATCACAATAAACTTTGGTGGACTACACAGTGATTCAGCATTCTATGTTTTTCTCCAACAACATAAAATCTACACAGATTAAATAGACTGCTGTGATGAGGACAATCATACTTTCCCAAGGCAAATGCTTCCATTTTCAGACATTACCCTCCAACTCTTGATCATATAAAGTGAGTGTAACAGTTTTCTAATTTTTTATCCTCATGTAATAATTTTAAAAACATATTTCTGCATAGTAGTTTGCTGTCTGAAAATCCTTGATAGAAGTCATGTGTTTACTCTAGAAATAAGGAAAATCTATCAAAGATCAAAAAGAATTGCCATTCCCATCACCCAAGGGAAAACTTCTGTTTATTTTTGGTTGTAATGTATAATTTTATAAGAAAATTGTTCTGTAATTCTGTACAGGACATATTAAAGGATATAAATGCTCACTGAACATCCCAATAATGGTTCCAGTTTTCTTCATCAGACAAATGTTAAAGCAAACTTCTCTTGTTGGACGTTACAGTGAATCATTCCCCAAAGGCGAGTAAGCAAAAACTGGATTGTGAGTCAAAGGATGTAACCTGCTTGTGAGTTTTGTTCTATTCACTTTCTGTTTTATAAAAGATGTGTATGGTCTACCACTGCCAGCCATTAAGATCTGCTCTCCTAATAGCAGAGGACACCAACAGGTTGAATATCCCTGAACTGAAAGGCAAAACCACTACAAACTTTAAGCTGTAAAACTGTTTAAGAGTTGACACAATGCTTAGCAAGTTTCAGATTTTGAAGTATTTTGTATCTTTAGATTAGAAGGTGCTCAATTGGTAGTCTATGCAAGTATCAAAAATCTGAAACACTATGAGATCTGAAACACCTCTGAGCCCAAACACTTCAGGTAAGAGATATTCAACCTATCTTTAAACATGCATGTGTGTGTGTATATACACATATGCAGTTTGTATGTAAATATACATAAACACATACATAAACATGCACAGAATCTATGTCCTGGTGAATTATAATCAATAAATCGAATACTGTTTTTATTTCTTTCTCAATCCAAATAGCAATGTGAATTTAATAGAAAGTAATGGTTTCTGGCATTTGGGTTTCTGGCAACCACAAAGGGACTGTGTGACAATCAAGTGACTTACTGCCAGCAAATATCCAGGGACCAACAGACCTACCTTGCAAAATTGTTCTAAGAATTATAATAAGAAATCTAGTTATAAAGTGACAACTAGGGTGCCTGGTATAAAGTAAGACTTAATAAAGGGTAGCAATTACTATCATAATCAAACGACAAGCCTATCTTACCCTATACGTCCATCTTGGTAACAATAATAAATTAGTTAGCCACCACAATAACCACACGATAGCAAATAACAGACACCTAGTACTTCATGGCCACAACGTGCTGAGTGTTGCTTTTGTTATTTCATCCAATTTACAAAGAATCATGTAAAATTGATGCACCCCCATTTTGCAGATGAAGAAACTGGGGCCAGTGCAAGATTGGTGCAGTCAATACTACACTGTACATTCAGGAACTTCAATCAGCTGAGCTCAAGCTTCCAATGAACACACTGTGCTGTAAGTGGGCCAGACCTTTCCCTTTCCCTTTTGCATTCCTTGAGTCCTATACAGGTTCTAGAATATGGGAATCCCTCATGGCATCTGTCTCAAATGTGTAACATGCACACTCAATTCCCACAGGTCACTTGTAGCCCAGATGTTCCACTCTGCAGGCTCACCAAGGAGGGCAGGCTTATCTCTGCCTTGGGCAGACACTGCACCTAAGCCCCTGTCTTGTCCCTTCCATTGCCTTCACTTTAGGGGCATAGGTTACATAAGCATGACACTAGAATTTCATGAAGAACATCAGATTGAAGTTCTATTCTGACTCTATGGAGGGAGCCAGCACTGGCTTCCTGTATTTCCCTATTAGACCTGACATTACAACAAAGTCATGTTCCAAAGCTCACTCTCATATGTGTGACAACTTCTATCATTTCACTGTATAGCAAGAATAATGTGTAAAGACCAGACTTTACCAGAAACTTTCATTTCTTCTCTTTCATCGGGGTTTATCTTCTCTAGTGCATGAGACACAGTACATTCCAACACATCTGGAAACTCCTACAACATATATTTGTAAACAGATAAAAATCAGTGTTTCTGATGACAAAATCGTTTTTTATTCATCTGCCCTCTAGGGGCAGAGAACTCATGCAACAACAGGATTCTTTACCTGAGGTCTGTCTGGGCTTCACAAGGCTCTAAAGGGGCCAGGGCAGTGGTGTATCACATTAACTTCAACCTGTGGTGCTGGCTTCCCACATGGGCACAGGTTTGAGTTCCAGCTACTTATTTCCCAATGCATCTCCCTGCTATAACCTAAGAAAACAGCAGAGCATGGCCCAAAGCAATGGACCCCTGCACCCACGTTGAAGGCCTGGTAAAAGCTCCTGATTTTCAGCCTTGCTTGCAACTTCAAATCAGCTCTGACCCCCTATGACCATTTAGGGAGTCAAATAGCGGATGGAAGGTTTCTGTCTTCCCCTCCCATCTTTGTAACTCTTTCAAGTAAAATGAGTAAATCTTTAAAAATAAAAATCAAGATAAAAGGCTATGTGCGTCAATTTTCTGGGACAGAAGTATCATGTTTGATGTTACTCAGAAGGTTGCCTGTCTGAAAAAGAGGATATACAAAATAAGCAGGAGAAGGGTATGTAAGTATAGCAAGTAACTTTTTTTTTGAAAGGTAGTGTGTGAGAGATTTTTCCATTCACTGGTTCACTCCCCAAATATCCAACAGTAGGGGCTGCACCAGGACTTAAGCTAAGAGCCAAGAAGTCCATCTGGGCCTCTCCCATGTGGTGGCAGGGACCCAAGTTAATCGAGCCATCACCCCTGCCTCCCAGGGTGTGCTGCTGGCACAGAGTTAGACCTGTATGACACGTAGGAGTCCCTAGCAGTGGCTTAACCTGCTGCGTCAGCTTTTGATTTTTTGAATTTTCCCATGATTCTTTAGGACACTTCTTTGTCTAGCATGTCTCAAAGAGATTTAATAAGCATTTACGCTAAGTATGCACACACAGAAGAGCCACTTCAGAAAAACTGATTAATCAGTGTCGCAAAGTACAAACTTGCAGTGTGCCACGGGAACAAGTATTTCCAGGACTTAACCTCTTCCATACTTTTGAAGTAGTCTGTGTACGTGGGGGGGTGTCACCTGTGCACAGTGCTTGAGCTGCTCCTTGGGACACATTCCCTATCAGAGTGCCTAGATTCATGTCTCAGCTCTGTTCCCAACTCCAGCTTCCTGCCACCATGCAGCATGGGTGACAGCAGGTGACAGTTCAAGTTGCTGGGTCCCTTCCACTCATTTGGGAAATGCAGACTGGGCTCCCAGGTCCCAGCCCAGCCTGGCCTAGTCTTGGCTTTTGTAGGCAGCTGAGGATTAAACCACTGGAGATCTGTGTGTCTACTTTTCAATAAGTTAAAAAAAAAATCAGAAAAACAGAGGCAAGACTTTGGCTGAACTAAATTATGGAAAAGTATTTTGTATACCAACATGATAATAATTATACCCTGACATTTCATGACAAAGTTCTTTACTGTTTCTTCAGAAATTGACATTTAAAGTTATCTCTAATTTCATTATATTACTGGGGTGATATTCTCTCAAAGCAATCTACCAGGTAAAACTCTTTGCATAACCATTTTTCTCCCAGATCACACAGAACCTGCAATGAAACCTTGATGGGGACGAGACTGGTGGAAATTAGTTCTTTTTCCTTCTCTTTTTTTAAGCTATAAATTATCATTAGTATTCTTAGGGTCACTTAATATTTCTTTTTTTTTTCTTTAAATATTCATTTTATTTTTATTTCAAAGGCAGATTTACAGAGTGAAGGAGAGAGAGAAAGATCTTCCATACACTGGCTAACTTCCCAAGTGGCCACAAGGGCTGGACCCGATCCGAAGCCAGGAGCCAGGAGTTTCTTCTGGGTCTCCCCCAAAAGTACAGTGTTCTGTGGGCTTGGGCCAATCTCCACTGCTTTCCCAGGCCATAAGCAGGGAGCTGGATCAAAAGCAGAAAAGCTGGGATATGAACCAGAGGTGCCCATATAGGATCCCAGAGCTTACAAGGAGAGGATTAGGCAAATGCCCACTGCAATGGGCCTTTCACTTCCACTCTAACCTGCGTCTGTGTTCACATTCACTTACCCTGATCGAATCTGGACTGATTTGGGAACTCCATTCATTCAAGGTCTTCTGGATACAATCTCGAAGCTGCAAAAGGGTTGCATTTTGAAACTTAATCACACTGCAATAAGAATACAATAGCGTAATAAAGAATCAAGTAAAAAAAAAAGATATTAACACACAGCCCATCTGCATTCTACTAGGTTTTTAGCTTCTTTAGCATAGATATAAAATCACATTCTTATGCTACTAATTCTTAAACATTCTTAACCTAAAGCAGTAGTCTAGTTATTTTCCCACTGAGTCTATGCTAAAGAAAATTTAAGTTAGCTTTTGAAATGCAAAGGCATTCATAAAGAAACAATAATTTTTCCCAGGAGGTAGTTTATAAACAGCAGGGACTTGGACTGAAAGCCAGACAGCCTGACCAGAATTCACACAAACCACTCTGCTGCATTCTCCAAAGACAAATGAGAGTAAATGTGGCCAGAGGAATTCTAACGCCACACTTGCCAGTGTATTCAGTGAGAAACTCCTAAGATCACTCCTATTCCTGCTGAATCACCCTCCACGGGAAGTCAGAACTTCTGTTTATTTGTGTGTGTGTTTAAGATTAATTAATATATTTTGATAATCAGAGTTACAGAGAAAGAGAGGAAGAGATAGAGATCCTCTCTCTGCTGGTTCACTTTCCAGGTGGCAGTAACAGCACTAGGAACTTCATCCAGCTCTCTGAGTGGGAGGGGCCTGAACACTTGGGCCAGCTTGCCCTGCTTTAGCAGGGAGCAGGTTCAGAAGTGGGCAGCCGGGATCTGACCTGAATCAGTGCCTATATGAGCTACCTGGGTCACAGGTGGTGCTTTACCCTCTACACTGTGACACCGTTCTTCAGAACCACGGGTATTTACAAGCATCCCAACTAACTGGTCCGTTCTGAGATCTGAGAGCCACCAGTCGTTCTCCCAGGGGCCAAGAGGACCAAGGACAGTTCCTAGGTCATTTCCTAGCACTTCAAACATTTCTAATCTGTCTTCAACATGTTCTTACATCAATAAACTTCTTTTACACTAACTAAACAGAGTGTTGCAAACTCAAAGTGTTTACTTATCTCTAGATTTCTTATGTCTATGAAAGTCAGGATTTTTTTTTGACTGTGGTCCAAAGACAAAAACACACTCACTCACTCATTGATGATCTACACATGCATAATGGGAACAAAACAATCACAGAAAGATGCAGGTTGAGCCTCCTTAATCTAAACAACTGAAACCAGAAATGTTCTGGAGTCCAGGACTTTGGAGCACTGACAAGAACACTCAGAAAAAGTTGCAGAATTTAGGGTGTTTGGGAATTTTTGCATTAGAGATGCTGATTCAGTAAAGTCTATGCAAATACTCCAAAATTCAAAGACTTTTCAATCTGAAATATTTCTGGTACCACACTCACCTCATGCCAGGCACTCCAATGATTTCTGTTTTTATTAATCAGGAAAAATACAATGTCCCACCTCTTATTCAACTAGTGAGTCACAATCACTAAATGGTCAATGCCAGCAATCTGAAATCGCTGCTTCGCAGATACAAAGGTCACAGTGCTTTGCGTTACGCGGGCAATCAATGAAAAGGGAAATGAGTAACTAGAAGCCAGCCCCCAAACTGCCAAAGTGCTTTCCTAATAACAACAACAGAGATGAAACTTTTGAACTCACAATCTCAGAACTATGATTGCTTCTGATCAAAGCTGATGCAGGAATTCTACTGCCTCTCTCTCAGAGCAGCTAATGACAAGGGGCATCTGACTTACTAACTTAAAGGCACAGAGTCACCTATTCACAGCTTAAGAGTGGTAATCCATAATAACTTAGATGCTACCCGCAATAACCTGTTAAATCAAGTTACAACACTAATCCTTCTGTCGTGTGTTTATAATCAAATTTAAGGAAGTACATGAAAATGAGCTGGTGATATTTACAGACTGAATTGTAAGTCAAATTCTTTTAAAAATTTATAGGAGTTGAGGTAGCAGTACTGAGGGCTCATCAGTTCCATCAAGAATGCTTGCACTCAAATGATCACATTTCCAGAGGAAAAATTCTTAATAATTTTCCCACAATTTTCATCTGGCTTTCCTGATTCAATTTTACAATTCACAAAGATTATTATGTCTTTAGAATATGTACCTTTTGGGCCCGGCAGCGTGGCCTAGCAGCTAACGTCCTCGCCTTGAACTCCTGGGATCCCATATGGGCGCCGGTTCTAATCCCAGCAGCTCCACTTCCCATCCAGCTCCCTGCCTGTGGCCTGGGAAAGCAGTCGAGGATGGCCCAAGGCTTTGGGACCCTGCACCCGCGTGGGATACCCGGAGGAAGTTCCTGGCTCCTGGACTCAGGTCAGCATAGCATCTGCTGTTGTGCTCACTTGGGGAGTGAATCATTGGACGGAAGATCTTCCTCTCTGTATATCTGACTTTCCAATAAAATAAAATAAATCTTTAAAAAAAAAAGAATATGTACCTTTTTCCTGAAATTATTTATTTAATTAGCTTTGAGTTCCACAAAGTATCAATCACGACAAATCACATGTAAGTCAATGTCATAATTGTGTGAGAAATCCATTGACTGTATCACAAACATCATGGTTTTTAGTCTTAAAATTCACATGCTGTCTGGACCAGACTAATATGCAATGCATACTGGCACGTGCACGCCCCACCCAGGCTGGGGCGGTCTTGTGGGAGCTACTGGGGGTCGCCCCAACTAGGCTGCAGTTCCTGCTGGTGTGTGTAAGGGTGATGTCTGTGGCAGGCTAAATTGGGCTAGGCCACAGCACCCATCAGTTTGCACAGAACTGACTAGGCTGGGCACAGAACTGACTAGGCAACGACAATCACAAGTGTGTCTGATGTGGGTGATGGACTGAACTGGACAGTGTACTACCTGGCACATGCAAAGGTCAGGTCTGGGGTCATCTCAGGTGAAGTTTCTTGGGAGATTGCTTGACTGGACCACTGGGTTCAAGCCCCCAGCACAGGGAAGATAATAGGATTTATGGTGTGATCTTGGACCACGTGCACGTGTTAAAACTGGGCCTCCTTCTTTGCTGATGCCTATGCAGTACAAGGCATGCCCAGGTACATAAGGGGGATATGATGGCCAGCTCATTTAGGCCTGCAGAGGACACTGAGTGACACGTCAGAAGATGGAGAACAGAACAATCTCCTTACTGAGTTTTGGCAGCAAGTGTCTGGATGAGTGGATGCAGTGGAGTGGATTCTGTCAGCCTATGGTCCTTGAAAGGATTTTCTCAACCTTGGAGCAATGAAACCAACTAGTGTCTCAGAACTATAAAAGTCACTAAGCAATACCCTTGCAACATTCATCTCCACATTGGGGTTTTTAAGAGGACAACAGGTGGACAGCCCCATCCCTGGGTTCTGAAGTAGTCTGCCAGCTGGGAGGCAGGCCCCTTATCTTCTTTTGCCCACCCCGTACAGGAGAAAAGGGAAGAAAACGAACATTGGAAGCATCTGTCCCATCCACCTTCTGCCATATCTTGGACCTCCCCACCTTACTCAGTGGTCCTCATGGGCCTGCGTTCTTTTCAACTATGTAAACAACTTCAAAAATAAAATAAAATGAAAAAAAACCACATGTTACCAAAATGGCTGACTAAACATTAACCTTGTCCTGGGTCTTGTGCGTGCTCGTGCTCTCTCTTTCTCTCTCACACACACACACCACAGTTAAATATCTTCATAATTAAATGAAGTAGCAGTTCTGGAGTTATGTAAGAATTAAACACATACCACATGATTCACCTAGTTAAACATCCTTACAAGGAGGAATTGGGCAAAACAATAATGGTCTGTTTAAAAAAAGATTTTGATTACATAAACTTCCAATGACACACAAATACTGGGCAGAAGGTACAGAATCAAAAATCACCATTAGAGAGTTTTTGAGAAATAACTCTTTACCCAATTTGTAAATGTTCTCAATAATGAGATTTCCCCTTCTCCCCCTACCCCAGTATGTCCAGTCTCTTCCATGAAATTGCTGACTCAAGTGACACATCTGGTTATTACAAAGTTCCTCTCTCCACAGAAACGAAACATGCCTCTTCCATCTAACCAAGCTATCACCACTTTCTTCCTGTGTGCTGCCCTTCCTCCAAGTTTTCCTGTTTCCTAGTTTTAGTTTAGTCTATTCCAACACAGCACTCCAACTGAAATACTTCAAGCCAAAATCAGTCATTTGAACCATGTTTTACAAACTGTGCATTAAGAAATTGTTTTTTAAAAAACTGGATGGAAAAAAATCAGAATACAATGTATAATGAGCAATTGTATCCACTACACTTTTGTTTCAGATATATTCATATATTCATACATGAAGGGGTTTCAAATGTTCATGGAAAACGTTTTATATATATAACTCCACATAGATGTCAAATCATTTCTGCTCCAAAATAAATCTGATTCCAGTTTCCACAAACTTTCTGAAGTACTCTCACACAACTACAGATAAATAATTAAGAATGAGGTTGCAAGAACACAGTGCATTTCTTACTGTGTGTGTGGTCAAGAAAAGCACCATTTGAGCATATGTTACAATGGTGTAAGAGAAAATTTCACCTGATATTATCACTACACATTCAGAATCACCATCAGTGCAAGAAGAAATGGAGGGGTCTTTGTCCCAAACCCAGAAACACTTCTTTTGGGGAGAAATGGTCAATTGGGGGTGGTTTAAGCAAAAATATGTAGAAACAGCTGGATCGTGAACAAGGAACGTGGTTTGGGTTCTCAGTCCTATTAAAAGGAAAAGGCAAGATTTCTGCTCTCCTGAAAGCTGCTGATCCCTGACACCAGCCCAGGACACAGTCCCAGGAGCCCGGGAAGCACCCTGCCACTCAGCTGACAGCGGAAGAGGACAAAGTTCAGGACTGTTTTTTTTTTTCTTTTAATCAAGATTTGTTTTCTTTCTGACCCGGTCAGGTGACAGGAAGAGAAATGTCTGGGTGGTGAGAGTGTTCATAAATGATCTCTTAATTCTCAAGGAAGCTAGCTGACAAAGGTCTCATGCCCAACTTTGAAAGTCAAGTACATGGCCGCGGAGATGGTGACTTCTGCAAAGCCACGAAGCTCCTCTACGTTAAGGTTGGCTTTATTCAAGTTTTCCTTTTTAAAATTTTAATTGTCGCACAAAAAGTGTACATATTCAAGGGGTATTTTCTGGAAAAAAAACATACTAAAATTGTCCCAACCAACCAGTATGCTGCAGCAATTAACTCTGCAGCCAATAGATGATGATCCGCTCTGGCACCGAGAGACAACAAACATGTAACCAGTGACCCATTGTAGATCAGCGTCTGCCAGCTACGACTAACGACTCAAGCAAATAAAACCGATTAATGCCTAGCCAAGACAAAACAAAAAACAAAAAACAAAAAAAAACTTACTCCAAAAACCCCGTTTGAATGTCTAGTCATCTGCCTCACAGAATTGGAGAAACTAACGTTATCATCCTAAAAGTGAAGTGTACTAGGAAGAGAACTTCACTCATCCAAGGCTGGTCTCTGAAACAGTCTCGCACCTGGACAAGGTGCGGGGGAAGGGAGCGAGAAACCAGAAGAGACCGAGCGATGCACAGGCCCCTTTCTGACCCCTGCCCAGGGAGAGGCATCCAGTAACGTCGGTGACTTTTGCTGCTGGTTGTGAACACCGACCGAGGCGTCGCTCGCCGAGCGGCTGCACCTGCTAAGTTTTCGGGGCGCCGTGGCCTCAGCAGCGAGCAGCCGCTGGGATCCCAACTCCGCGCCTCCCCAGCCTCAGCCCAGGTGCGCACCACCCCGGGCGCCCGAGCTCCGCCACCTGCGCTCCCCAGCAGCCGCTCCCCGTCTCCCTCCGACCCCGCGGCCTGCCCCGCGTCTGCGCTCACCTCCTCGCTGTGCGTGGACGGGCACTTCTTCCGCAGTCGGCCCCAGTTCAGCAGATTCCCCGTCTGCAGGTGCAGGGTGCGGGCGCGCGCCAGGAGCGCCCCGGCCGCGCGGCTGTCCGTGCCCATGGCAGCGGTCGCCCGAGAGGGGCCCAAGCGGCGACGGGGGCCGCGGGAAGGAGGGTGGGTGGGCGGGCGGCGAAGGCGGCCGCCTCGCAGGACGCGGTGCCCGAGGCCCGAAAGGAGAGCGCGAGGCTGCCAACCCTCCCCGCGCGGCTGGAACCTGCTCTGGGGCCGAGCGAGGCCGGGCGGCGGGCGGAGCGGCGACCCGGGCAGGAGGCGTTGCTGGCTGCGGCCGCCGCTCGACAGTGACTCTCGACTGAGGGAAGCTGTTTCCTGGAAGACAATGACTAAGCAGAAATCGTGGCCGCGAAAGTGCTTCGTAACCGTTACTCGTCCCGCGGCGGGGCAGGGGCGGGGCGCGACCGGGCTGCGGGGCGCCGGCCCCGCGGGTGACTGGCCGTCGGCCTGCGGCGGGCGTGGCGCCGGCCGGGCGGGCGGGCGGGCGGTGCTGGCGGCGGCGCGCACGCCACGGCGCCCCCTGCCGGGCGGAGCCTCGGCCTCTCGCGGCGCCACAGACGCCGGCCCGCTCGCTGGCAGCCAATGGCCGCCTCGCCGCGGCCTCCGTCACCGGCCTCTCCGGCGGGGCGGCCGCGGGGTCCACCGAGGCTCGCCAAGCGCGGCTGCTTTGGCTTTCCAGAAGCAGGTGTTAAGGCGCTGGGCCCTCCCCCTGCACCCCAACTTCTCTTTCCTTGCTGCTTGCAGGGACCTTCCCTCAAACTGACGCTCCATCAAGGTCTGTGGGTTCGACCCTCTCTGCCGGCTTAATGTTTGTCCTTGAGGAGCTGAAGATTTCCTTCCATAGACAACGCCTGACATAAGACATTAGGTAGTGACGTAGGCTTTCTTACGGCATTCAGTTTCCGGACGGGTTCGCCTCAGGGGACCCGGCAGCGTGGGAAAGGCGAATGGAAGGACAGAAACTCTTAAAAACAGCTTAGTGGGCGGGGAGCGGGATGGATGGATGAGAAGATCCTTTCCAGAACCCGGTGGTAAGGAGTTCATCGGAGGGAAGGGAGACTCCCCAGAAGCAGGGGAGAAGGTGGGCTGCTTGAGTCGGTGCTAAGCTTTGATTCCTGTGCTAGCTGACCCTTCAGACCTGCCTCCTTACTGTATACAGCACATTGGTCAAGAATGTTGGTGCTGCCATCATCTCATGTGGCCTTCTAGAGTTTACCAGATCCTGGCTATTTTGTTTTAGACAAGGCTCTGTTTCACTGCCTCCGAACTAGAGAGAGAGTGTGAAAATGCTGCTAATTCAGTATTTTTAATCTGTAGAAATGTGGTGATCCTGCTTTCATTTAATTGGATTTTACCATTTGGGAGGGTGTTAACGAAAGGCCCCTGGTACAACAGTCTTTGACTCAGAAAACATTTGCCCACCCCCATCTTGCCACACATAAGGGGCACTCTTGTTACTATCTCTTTTATTCTTTTTCCCTTAAATGTCTCCTCTCCATGTTGATAACTCCATCCCATGAATTAACACCAGGCATCATAGTATGTTTTTAAGATTTACTGAAGTAAACCTGTTTGGTCTTTACGGCAAGTCAAGTCACTTGTTGAAAAATCTCCACTCAGGGTGGGTCTTCCAGGCCTCCATCAAAACCTGCATCTTTCAAACTCTCCCCTCTGTGGAGCTACAGATCATTTACATTCTTGAATGTGTTTATGCATGATTTACATGCTAGTCATGCCTGGTGGCTTTTATTTCCTGCAGATTATAACTAATGATGCCCTGGCTATAGTCCTACAGTTGGAAGGGAAGAAAATTTAATGTTTTAAATAGGTTTAGGGAACAAAATTAAGGAAGGTAAATCAGAAGAATTTGATTATATACGGTTATTTCAAGTGAGTCTGCTTCTGCTATTCAGAAATGAAGCATCAAAGTGATAACAGTTCCATCTTTGGGAATAATGTTACTTTTAGGTGCTTTACAGTTTTTCTGCAAATGCCATTTGATACAGAGTGAGTGACTGTACGTGGACCGCCATTGCTTTCATTCTCCTTGACATTTAACAGGATCCGATATCTCTCTAGACGCTGTGCTTTGAAAAACATTCTCCTTGCTTGCCTTTGTAATCCTCTACAATATTTGATCACAGAACCCTTTTTAAAATTTTAATGTGCTGCTAGAAGTCCAACAGATAATCATAAGCTCAAAGCATTTAGCTCAAAACCGATGAACTAACTGTTACAAGAAACAGTCCTATTTTTATTCATATGCTTTGCATGATACAAGCAAAATTTGAAAATTAAATTTCAGTGTACTCTCCTAAAAGACTACCTGGTACATTCTATTCTTCATGAGACAAAACGGATTTAAATTCTCAAACTTTGTTTTCATGTCTGAAATGAGTATAATTGCAGTGTTTGTTGTTAACATCGTCAGGAATCACTGAGAAGTTTTTCCGATGACTTCTCCAGGGTTTTTCTGACACCCAGATTCCTTTGGAAATAATATAGCTGCCCTGGCTTTTACAATTGTAAAGTAATGGAGGAATACAACAGAGGTTTGGAACACAACATAGGCAAGTGCAGAGTAGTAAAAATAACCAGTTTGTTCCAAAGACAAGGAGAGAGGGTCACCTTTGTTGGGCAGGGATATTCCTCTAAGGTGAAACAATGTGATGCATGGAGGAACATTATCAAGAGGAGCCTTTTGAGTCTGACCTAAGAGGAACCAGGAAACCACCTATATGAAAGTAAAAAAGAGTCTTGATATCAAGCTATAGGTCAGCAAAAATTAAAAAAAAAAAAATCTGAGGGTGTTATGCAGTGCAGCCAGTGATTGCTCCTTCACCTCTCCTTGTATACTCTTCCCCCCAAATGAGTGCAATTAGTCTTTTTAGCTACAAGCCCAGTTCCTATTCCTGCCCATCCCAATGAGCGCCAATTAACTCCTTAACTCACAACACTTTGGTATTCACTACTGCCCACCTGTAACTCACCTGTCACCTGAGAGGGGACGATATTGCATTGTTGTGTAACCACTCCCTTCACAAGCCCCTTTAAAAGGCTTGAGAAGCAGGGGGCTCACTCTCTTTCTGGTCAGGTGCTTCCATTACTCTGGCTCCTCCACTCTTGGCTGATTACCAAGGACAGGTAATCCCCTGAGCATGGTCCCTGTGTACTGCTTAGATTGGACAATGGATATAGTAATTTTGTTTCTGTTTTGTGTGCTGTCAGAAGTTCCAGGAGAGGTGAGCCCTAGCAGTAGTGGAATGTGGGTAGAGAAGCCAAGGAAAGGTGAATGTCTGCAGCTTTGTAAGTGTGTTCAAGTTATTTGTTGCATGTTTCTTAGACGTTCGTTACATATTGTTGGGGAAGCTGGGACATAGGTCTTCAGCTTAATGGATGGACTTAAGGGTTGTAAGGCCACGCAAAGTGGGGACAGCCTTACCGACTTTCAAGAAGATGAGTCTCCCCAATGATCAACAAAGGCGAGGCTTGATGCAAAAGCAGGAGGATTTATTCAGATGCCAGCACACTGGGGCTGAGGCCAGTTCTTCACGCAGGAGAGTAGGCACATCAGCCCTGAGCCACTACACAGCATGCTTTTTATAGGCCAAAATCACACAAAGGGCAAAGGCTAAAACCATAAAGCCATAAAGTTAGGGGCTTTCCGCTGACCATAGCCTCACAAGAATGCTGTTCCTTATCACAATTCCCCTCAAGTTTGCTTTTCTCAGACCTTTGGAATCTTCATCGATAAGTCAGGGTCTTTCTGTCTCTGGGGACTTTCCGTCCACCCTCTCAATTTCTTAATCTCATTCCCTTCTGAGATACCCATCTTCAGCTGCTTTTGTACTTTGTACCCTGAGTTTCAACTAAACCTAATTATTTACCAAAGACATCCTATTCAGCTATTCTCAGCAAGCGAGATACAGAAAGCAAAAAAGCAAATTGAACACCTCTAATCTAAATTTTCTCCTTCAGGGTAATGACCATTTGTTCCCCTTTGGATTATGATGCTTGGATTGCCATATGGACTTGTGATCTGCTATTTCTAGTATGCTCTGTTATCACCAAGCTTGGTTAATAAAGACTCCTTAAGAAACCTTAGACATGTCTGGTGTGCCCTCACTCACACCTTGTAACAGAGGGCAGATGTTATGGTGCAGGAGATTAAGCTGCTATTTGAGGCATCTGCATATCATATTAGAGGACCAATTCAAGTTCCAACTCCTCTGCTTCTGACCTAGCTTCCTGCTAATGTGTTTAAAGAGGTAACAGATGATGGCTCACCTGGTTGGGCACCTGCCATTCATATGGCAAACCTGCGTGGAATTGCAGGTCCCTGGCTGCAGCCTGGCCCATCCTGAGCAGTTGTGGGCACTTTGGGAATAGTGCAGATGGAGCATATCTCTCTCCCTCCATTGCACTGCCTTTCAAGTATATGAAAATAAACTTAAAAATATTTAAAGGCCAGGGGCAATAACCTTGTGGCTAAAATCCTTGCCTTCTTGTGCCAGAATCCCATATGGGTGCTGGTTCATGTCCCATCCCACTTCTCTTCTACCTCCCTGCTGTAGCCTGGAAAAGTAGTGGAGGATGGTCCAAAGCCTTGGGTCCCTGCAACCACATGGGAGACCCAGAAGAAGCTCCTAACTCCTGGTTTCTGATCGCTCAGCTCTGGCCATTGTGACTACTTGGGAGGTGAACTGGCAGATGGAAGATCTTTCTCTCTACCTCTCCTTCTCTTTATAGATCTGACTTCCCAATAAAAATAATACACCTAAAAATTATATTTCAAATACTTTTTATTCAATGATCATTTTTCAAATGCCTAATCTGTCCCAGGTACTGTGTTAAGGCACTACAAATTTGCAGTGTCACTATTTTCATTGAATTCATACACTAATGGAAAAGGCAGATTTTGGTAGGGGTAGAATTAAGCAAGTTGGCAACTGGTGTGTGAGATTGCAGTGTGGAATGACTCACTGCTGAGTGACCCGACGGAAGAGTGTAGTGGTCACCTTGACCTAGACTGGGAAAAACCTCATCCCAAATCACTTTATGGGTGAACAAAGGTTGTGAGAATGCATTGAAGCAGGAAAGGAATTTGGTTACCATGATGAGGGTTAGAAAGTGATAAGATATTCTTAGACCAAGCAAAATAGAAAATAGTCTCTCTATGAATATTCAGGGAGCAGTGGGAAAATGTCCCAGTGAGAGAATATTACTGTTGGAGTTACACATGAAAATTGTTGAAAATTT